TGTGTGTGTGTGGGCATATATATACGTATATGCATATGTATGTATGTATGTATGTATGTATGTATGTATATATATATATATATATATATATATATATATATATATATATATATATATATATATATATATATGTTGTGTATGTGTGTGTATGTATATGAATATATTTATATATGTATATATGCATAGAGGTGCACATATATATATATATATATATATATATATATATATATATATATATATATATATATATATATATATATATATATAATATACATATATACACATACATACATATATATACGCATATGCATACATACATTATATATAAAAATATATAAATACATATATTATGTATATATACATATACATATATATGTGTATATACATACATATATGTATTATATATATATACAAACCTAAGAGACAGTGCTAAGAGGAGGAGGGCAAACTTCCCTCTCACCTAGCAAATAAGGCAGTATGTAGGTCCCTTTTGGTTGCCGACCGCTGGGAACTGGGATTACCCGTCCCATCTGCGTCCTGGTGGCTGCCAGCCTGGCGTGAAGCTTGTGAAGCAAAGCCCACGGGACACACACAGGTGAATTAAGCCAACCCTCGCTATATGGGACAACGTCGGTAGAGGTGGCAGGGGTGGCGTCCACCCGGAGTGACTTCCCGAGGTTAAACCTCAGGCGGGCTGTCAGGATGGGGGCTTGAAGTGTCAGCTCTTTGCGACAGAACAATCGGTTACCACTACTGTCGAGGGAGCTGAAGCAGATGAGAGTTGAGGTAGCTGCTCTCTCGGAGGTGAGAAGACCTGGCAGCGGCACGATTAGTGTGGGTGGCTCCACTTATTATTGGCTGTGCCGCAGCACTGGTCACCATCTCCAGCAGACGTCAACCGTCGGTAGTAGAGGTCACTCCAGTCGATGAGTGTATAATGGTATTGAGACTGAAGCATACATTTGGCTTCAGGTCTCTTATTACTGTGTACGCCCCTTCTGATGTTAGACTTGATGTGAAAGAGATCTTTTATACCAGACTTGCATCTGTGACAGACAGCTGTCCTCGGCGAGATACTTGTATTAGTCTGGGTGACTCCACTGCAGTATCTGAAAGGAACCAAGCTGGCTAAGAGATGTCTGTCGGTCCTCATAGTTTAGGAGCTAATGCTGGTAGTGAGAACAGCCTCCTTTGCTAGGTTCCATGAATCGACGATTTCTGGCTCTTGGTATCAGCTTTCTGACACACATCGTTGAAACTGGTACTGTGATACGTTTACTGCGGCCATGGAGTCCACATTCCCGTTAGCTCTCACTGAAGGATTCTGCAGAACTGCAGGGTGTATGGGAGCACTGAGCTCTGTGGAACTGATCATAGTTTAGTTGTGGCTACTCTCTGGGTCCACTTAATAACCCCCCATCCTTCCAATGAACACCCTTGAGTGTTTCATGTGGATAGATTAAGGGAGAGGGTGTGTGCCAAGGGGTTTGCTGAGGATATCTCTGGTAGTTTCGCAGCGCTCGGGGCTTGATAGACTTTCAAACTTGAAATGCTCACTGCAGCCCAAGAACAGAATTTCATCTTGCATGATACACTGGAAGCTACAAATACTTGTCACATGGCTTGAATGTCAGGGGATTGTGACTTACATCGTTCCCTGGTGTGCATGACTAGGTCAATGCTGAGAAGGGACAAGGAACAGTTTATCACAGTTTTTCCAGAGGTCAAAAGCCATTTCCTAGTAACTGACCTACATCATACCTACCAAGCCCTCCACACAGACAACTGCAGTCTGCTCAGCAAGTAGCCAGATAATCTCAGATCCTGTTGGGGCGCATGTGCACTGGGCTAAGTATTTTGAGCAAATGATCCACCAACAATTAACTTGATGTGGGTAGTGGGATCGGTGGAACTGCAGAAATCACCAAGGCATTGCCGGGTAAGGTTCTCACATCCTGAACCTATGAGACCACTTGCTGAAGCACCAGAGGCTAGAGCAATCTGGATTATACCGGGTGGAAACAGCTACCGAACAGCTGCCGGTGACCCGGTTCCAGCAGGCGTCTCCCCCCCCCTGCTTTCCGGTGGCTGCCGCTACTAATACTGCAAGGATGACCCGTCAGTGAGAGTGTGCCCTGCCGCGGCCGAGGTCACGTCTGATCCTCGCGGCCAGCCTGCCCGCTGGGAGCGGAGGGCCGCGTCGTGACCTTAGGGGACCCAAACATACACCCAAGACTGTCTCGTGTTTATACATATTTCCGTGTGCTGAACTCTTACAGGAATAGAGTTAAGCCACCAAGCTTTTACTGTCCTGTTACCAATGTATAAGAGGTCAAATTATACCCTTTACATGGATTCAATCCTGGCAAGTCCACAATAGACCGTATCTTGTTTTAGTCATTGTAGAGCGCCGACGTGAGTTTGGGCGTGGGCTGCTTGCAGCTTACATTGACCTCAAGCAGGCGTTAATACGATACATTGCAAATCACTCTGGGGGATC